AGTATAAATATGCCTTATATAGGTATGGTCCTACACTATATTATTCAAATATAGCATGATAGGTCCACTTTAAATGAGCCACTGTCACACAAAACCCAGGATAAATAAAGTATTCTGATATGTTATTCAAAGACGCAAAAAACTGAAAACTAAAAGTAAAGAAGACACACCTACTGAATTTCTGCCAGCTTGTGAGTGTTGTTGAAGAGACCTCTGAAATGGCTGTAGAAAGAAAAAATAATCAGAAATACTTTCATTACAGTGAAGTTTGCTAATGTCCTATCTGTTTGCCACCTGCACGAAACTTACATATGTACTCTTTTTATTAAATATTTTTCATATATTCATTGTAATTTTCTATTGAAGATATATGCTTATGACTTTTTCATCACTTTGCAATTATATTTGGTCTAACATGACTATTCAATTACAATAAAGGCATTGCATTGTACTTATTTAATTGTATTTACTCTAAAAGCAGAGTGCACGTTTTCTATGACTTTTGCATGTGCAATTTCTGCATGTGATTATTGCTTGGGCATGGTGTATTATATACACTACAGCACTATGAACTAAATGTAGGCAAAACCTACAGTAAACATTATTCTGGATGAGGAATCAGCATGACATGGGACATCTCTGTTTCACATGCAGCCACCAGGGGGCGCCACATGCTCAGATCTGCAGGCAACAGCAGGGGGCGTAAGTGAGGAGTGAGATGATATGGGCGAGGCTCCAGTCGCGCGCACGCACGCACGCATGCACGCACGCACCACGCACGCACGCACACACACACACACACACACACACACACACACAAACACACAAACACACAAACACACACACACACGCACAGAGAGAGAGAGAGAGAGAGAGAGAGAGAGAGNTTAAATAACTAAAGCCCCGTTAAGGCAGTTGTTATTATATAAAAAAAAATATAAATCCGTTAACTTATTTTAAGGAAGAATTTTTTAATTTTTAAACCTTCCATTACAACCTCGAAATGGGATTTATCTATTTAAGTGAGTTAAACAGTAAGAGTGGTATATTAATTAAAAGTAAAATACAGATTATTTTTATTGGTGTTTTTTCTCCAAAAAACTCTAATATTTAAGGAGTGAACTTATTTAAGGGGCGGAATTATTTAACGGCATTTCACTCAGTAGGGAATTGGTCGGTTGACCTTCTTACTTTTTTTATGGTTCTTACCACAAAGGTTGCGTTCCGGAACTTAGGGTTTTAAGCTTTGTAAAAAAACGATTAAATGATTATTGTTATTTTGGGATATAAGGTAAGTAGGTTCTTAAAAAGGACTTTTAATCCAAAGGGTTAATATTAAGGGTCAAAGAAGTGACCGGACAAAATTTTAATTCGCTTCTCTTTTTAGGAGTGAGGAGGGAAGAGGAAGAGGGAGGGAGAGGGAGTAGAGACGGAGGAGGAGAGAGAAAGAGAGCGACCAAACCCACACACAAATAGTTCCAAAACAGGGAGCCTTTCAATAAGGAGGGGAAGCGGAATTATTAAATTTCAATTATTGGGAACAGCTAAGGGGGCGGCTTGTTTTAATCGGAAATTAATGTTCCCCACCCTTTCCCCTTTCCATTCTGGAGGAGGCCCTTGAATTTAACTTTTAATTCTAATTAGAAATAGCTAAATTACCACCAAACACAACACACCCCACACCACCAGTCATTGACAAGGACTGTTCCAATAATGGGCGGGAAAAAACCGGGATTAAATTCATTTATTGGAACAAGCCATTGGGTGCTGCTAATCAAAATTAAATCCCCACCCCTCCCCCAATATCCCATCTGAGAGGCTGGAGTTATAACCTTTAAAAATCTAATGGGAAATAAGCTTAATACACGGGGGCGGGCAACCACCCCACCACACGGCAACAGGGCGGCATAGTGTTTAACCTTAATGTAATGGAAAAATAGTGAATATGGTTATTTTCTTCCTTCCCCAGGGAGGAAAATTGTTAAGATGATTTTTGAGTCAAAGGCCCCATCTTTGGGGAAATTTGTTATATTGAAAATTTATTTTCTATATTGTGTAAGGTATTTAAAACTTATTTTTCTCATTCCAAATTGGAACGAGGGAGAAATCGGTCCCCCTTGAATGCATAATTCAAACGTAACTCACTCTTCAACCTTTGGGAAAGGGTGGACCCAGGTATATTTCCTCCATTGCGGATGGTCAAAGGGTTTGTTGAGCCGGGAGGTCTTCCACACCACATGTGTTTTCTCAATCTTGTCGTTCACATTTTGTAACCCCACCTAAGGCCAGGAGTTGTATTGTTTGCCGCAATACCCGGAAGGTTGACGTTCAAAAGCGGCGGGGAATTGAAGGTAGTATGCACTTTTTTCATAGTGGTTTATTTCCAGGAACTGGGGGCACAGGGCACCATGTTTAAACTATTAACAAATGGGGCCCGTTAAAAGGACAAGTGTTTATAATTAAAAAAAAATCATTTAAAATGCGTTTATAAGAATTTTTTAAAATATTTTTAAAAAAAACTTCATTTCACCCTTAAATGTATTAATTATATTTTAGAGTAAAGTTAGAGTGTATATATTTAAGTAAATTAAATAAAGAAATATTTTCAAAAGAAAATTGTGAACATTAAAAGCTTTTTGGTATGCAGGGTAATATTCTATTGTTTTTTTCCAAAAACTCTAATATTTTTTAAGGAGTGAATTAAAGGCGGACATTTAACGCCTTCACTCTAAGTAGAATTGGTTTTCAGTTGACCTCTTTCCCTTTTTAGTTCTAATCCAAGTTTCGCGGTCCGACTAAGTTTAGTTAAATCTTATTTAAATATTATGTTATTTTTTTGAATATAAGAAGGAGGTTCTAAAAGGATTTAATCCAAAGGTTATATGTAAGGGGGTAAGTGGACCGACGAATTTAACCGCTTCTTTAGAAATTAGGTGAGGATAGAAGGAGAGAGGAGAGAAGAGGTGTATCCCTGGTGGGATACTGGTTAAGAGTTCAGAGGGTGGGGAGTTGTGTCAGTGGCCAACATTTCAATCTCCCCTTAGCCGGGCATTAGGCTTTCTCTGTAACTGCTACCTCTGGGGCAGGACCCCGGAGGGGCTTCTGAGTAGGGGAAAGGTCTGGGTTTAAGTGTTAGTGGAGCAGAGGATCCTATAATTCTATGTAATATGTAGGATAAGAAAGTAATTATAAATATTTCCCTTACTGTTATTTTTATTGTGTTGTGTATTTAACCTTTAGTTGATAATAAAACAAGCATTTTTATTTATAACATAGTATTTGTGTTAGGAACCAGCCCCCAACTGGTCAAGTAGAGATCAATTAAAAGGTTCAAAGAGCAGAGCAATCCTATAATTTATGGTCATATGTAGAATAAGAAAATAATTAAAAAAACATTATCCCTACTGTTATTATTTGTTGTTCTGTGTATAGACTTTAGGTTGGAGTAAGGAAATAAGAGCAATTATTCAGGGCATCATTACTAAAGAAGAAAGGAGGAGGAGGGAGGGACAAACAATCCAATTTGTTCTTTGATAATTTAGAATAATTGTGGGTTAAAAGACTGACCAATTAGGGCTTTTTTTTTTTGGATTAGGAACAAAAGAAAACGAGCGATCAATCAATCAAACCCCGGTTCAGGAATAAGTCCCCGTTTCTCCAGGCAACTGCTGGGGTATAGGTTAGGTAAAAAGCACCGATCCCCTCCCATGGTCGTCCAACACTTCACGGTAGTTATACAGAGGACTCAGGAAGGGCACCGGGCCATAGATGAAGTCGGCTCTTATCCTTAGCGTGGGAATCATTGATTGAACCAGACGTGTCTGGTAAAGGTCAGTAGACAGAGTAATTTAGGTTGAAAGGACAGAGACACGGAGGAGGGGTAGCTGTGGTCACGGCGGATTGCCCCCTCTTGCCGCTTGTTGGCCGTATCTGTTTATGCCCTTTTCCTTTCGTCTATCCCCACAGGGGCTCGACCGGATAGGGGCTAAAAGAAAGGTCAGGAACGAAAAAGTGGGAGAGAATGTGGTTTGGGTTAGCGAGGAGCCTGAATTTGGGTTTAGTAGTTATATTTAAGGGACATGGGACTTATTGTTTTAGGCATCAAAACCCAATTTGGGTTAAGTTTAGGGATCAGAATAAAGGGGTCAGCATAGGTCCACTGACATCTAAAGGATGAGAATCATGGCATTGGACTTATGTTTAGGCATCAGACCAATTGGTTAGGTTTAGGGTCAGATTAAAGGTTTAAGGCCAATAGGCCAGTGGTTGCATCTTAAAAGGATGAGAAGTATGGAACAGTATTTGTATTCAGCATCTAACCCAACTGGTTGAGAGTTTAGGGTTAGTTTAAGGTCAGAGTAATAAGCCTATTAGGTGTCTCAGAGTTAGATTAAATAAATTAAAAGGAGTAATATTATTTTGAATAAAATGATCCCGAAAATTACTGTTTATCTTGCAATTTGCAACCCCCTAATTAGTGGTGTGGAGTGGTTCGCATACCTCTCATTGGTGAGTCCAGTCATCCATTCGTGGTCTCCTGCCTCCATCTAGTGGCGACAGATGGTAAGTGCCAGTACACCTTTTTTCTGAATCTGCTCAGTAGAATAGAACCATTGTGAAAAATACAGGAGGGATTGAAATAAACACTGAGAGGACGGAAGAGTTTCTGAAGGTTAGGCTTGTAAAGGAGAAGAGTATATTATAGGTGGTATTTAGTGGTTTAATTTAAAGACAGATAGTCCATTTTGGTGAGACAACCAACGATTGTATTAAACTGATCCGTTTAGTTAACATATGATAATATAACAAAATCTGATTACTGAAGATCCAGTTGCCATGATTTGTCCTCCATCAACCAGCAGAGACAGTATAATAGGCTTGGAAAAAGAGTTAAGGGAATCATAGTGACAGGTAGTCAGTAGTTGTTTGTTCTCAAAAATGAAGGTTTTTGGGGAACAAAATAGTCCTTTATAATTGTTGTTTGGAACACATCCTCAGTGATGGACCCAGAGATCATCGAGTGTTCGGCCATTATCACCAGACGCTCTCACACCAGGGTGGCCCAGCCGGGGATGATCAAGTCCCCGGGTGTTGTGTTGTTTTCTAAATGCTCCCAACTTGGGGAAAAGGACAGGTGGGTAGGTCAGGTCAGTGAGCTTTGAGGTGGGTACACACACACACAGAGAGAGAGAGAGAGAGAGAGAGAGAGAGAGAGAGAGAGAGAGAGAGAGAGAGATATGACAGCAGACAGTGGCGTGCTATCTCTCTGTGAGGCTGGAGTGGTTATATAATCAGTCAAATGGAAGTGATAAACGCTGTGAACATTTCTCTGCGTCACCGGCAACACCATTTAGGATGTGATGACCTACAGGCAGCAGGAAGGGCATTACTAAAACCTCTACAGTGGGGGAATGTCGAAGATACTGTACTGGTAAATGTACATTTTATAAACACTGTTGTAGAATGTGAGTATTAATTAAAACATCTTAAAGTAATAACATTATTGGAGGCTTCGTTTGCAACCAATAATAAGTACATTATCTTATTGGTCGCGTACTTACCAAGAACACTCTGATGTCTCTAAATCCTCATCAGGCCATATGTCTGACCCGATCACATACCTGTGCTCTGTCACAGTGACACAAGGAAAATGTAGTTTGTAGGCTATTCATTGTAGTTCATCATGCACAAGAAACCGCAGAAATAAAAACATATGACGAAAATTAGCCAGCAAAATTGGTTATTTCCAACAATATATTTTTCTTTAAAGGGTAACTCTTACATTTTTACCATACTGTATATATGTTGAGAAACTTCAGATAGATAGCAATATCTAAAGGTAGCTAACAAGAGGCAACAGTTAGCTTTAGCTTCATTTTAAGCTAATATAGCTTTGCCTAGTTGAGCATGTTTTGGTTTCCCTGATAGTGGTATTTTGATTATCTCTGGGCCGTAAATGATTACAGATGCATCTTGAAAATAAATTAGGTGTTAGGCATAAAACAACCTAACAAAAAAAGATGGTAGCTAGCTTTATCTAACAATAGCACAATAAGCTTTTCAATCTTTTGCAATAGTTGTTAGCTTCAAGCCTCAACATCGGCTACAGATTCAATCCTATGTATTCTTTAGTGTGTTAGCTAACATGAGCCACCATTTAGCTTAGCTTTATGCTTTAGCTTAATTTTTTAACTATAGCTTTGCCAAAGATAGCTTTCTGTTAGCTTAAGGCCTTCTTCGACAAATGACCTCCTGTAAATTCTGTGTTTGGCGTAAATTATATCAAATACCAAAATATTTTTGTAGCCATCATTAGCTTACAGTGTCCACCAATTAGTGTTAGTTATATCTTCGTTAATAATTCTTTTTTAATGGCCGTTGGGCCTAAAAGAAGAGATGTTTTTATTCCATTTGCTTCATCTTTGATCCAATAAGGCAGAAATAAAATCAAAACACAGCAAAATCAAACACAACATTTTATTTATATTTACATCCGCCATATGTCCAAACAAAACCTCTTCATGAGCAGGCAGCTGGGCTAAAGAGAGGAGGAAACAGGGGGATAAACATGCAGAGATAGAGAGAGAAATGTGTGTTTACTGAGCGTTGAGTGTTATGTCAAGAGGAACATAACATCAAGAATGGACTGAGAAAAAAATTGTTGAAACACAAGATGCATGAATCTCTGAGCAACGCAGGAATGTGGTGCAGAGCCTGAAGATGAATACTATAAATAATCTGAGTGCATGTCTGTTCTTTGTGTGTAAAAATAGTCATTGATGCAGAGTGCTGGGGGGTTAAAACAGATGAAGGGAGGACAGTGTGTGGATGTATATGTCACGCAGTATGCAGCATAGTCCCCGACACGGTCAGCTGTGCAGTGGTGCAGAAACATATGAGGAGGCGTGTTATGTAATATTCCCAGAGCCTCTTTACTGGGTGAGAAAGAGCCTGCATCGATTAGCGTAAGCCGCCATGACTGCAAGGCTGAGGGGTTGAAGTGAAATGGTGTATAAATGTGTTTGACCCTTGTGGCAGATACTAGGAGCAGCAGCAGTGATTCAGTGGGATTGACATTAATTTGAGATTTTTTTGTTGTGTCTGTCTATATGAAACACAAGCCTGTTTTCACATCATTGACTAATTGATTATCCAGTAGCGATTGGCACTCAGTGAACTACATTTCTGCAGATGAGGTGACAACGTGGCTTCCCATGTTCTGTGTTATTGTTCCAAACCTTTCGGAATAAAGCAGCAAAGCCAACCAATTGGTCATCCGTGTACAAAATACAGACAAGAAAATGTTTGTGTTCTCGAGTGGATTTCCTGCTCTAAAATAGAGAAAACAGGTTGTAAAATATACAATTATAATAATCCAATAGCATACAACCCAGTTAAATCTGTCCTCTGACCTTTTCTTCACTCTCTACCACAGTAAGATGCGGTTAAATGTTGTATGTTAAATGTTTAATTTAACTGTTGTATGTGTAACCCTCTTGGCATGGTAGAATACACAGCTGCACAAAATGTCCATACCAAAAAAATGTACAAACATATTTCTCAATCATAAATGATTACTAATTCAACCTGAATCTTTCTCTTCTTAAATGTAAAATTAATCTTTTAATGAATAAGATTCCTTAATTTAGACTATATTCACCTTGTTCTTAATATTTAATGATCTTGATAGGTCTTGATCTTCCCACAAATATTGAGAAGTCCCCGCTGTAATTTCGCTCACCAAAAGTAAAACATCAGGTGGGAAACCTTTTTGTTGAGGGTTTTTAACTCCTGCGTACTTCACAGATGGGGTCAGGGCAGTTCTGGGGATAAGTGAAGTATCCGAGTGGACTGAACTGGAAACCCTGGCTCTGGTCCGAGGTCCATCTGTCTGCAGTAAGTGAGTTCACTGTGACTAATTTTGCTTTAAACCTTGACAGATAACAATTCAGCTCCAGCTCAGGATGACAGCTGCAGGCTCATCTTTAAATCACTAAATTCATGGTCAATATGGGATGAATAATTTCATTTTTGTGTTATCTTCGCCACTATTTTGGATCCACAAAGGGACAACTCAGTGAGCTAAGTGACCTTTTCCAGTTTAATAATATTATCTAAAGACATGTAGTTATATTGTTTTGACTTCTCTGATCATCTATCCTATCTTTTATCAGTTTGTGGGGTTAATATAACATTTTCTATCAATATATTCTCAATTTAATTTGATATTTATCCCTGAGTCCCATTAACATTGATTTAAATTGAGTTTTTTAGTGGCCCTGAAGCTCTAAACATATCTAGAATAAGAAAATATACAATTTACTATTCACTATTGACATTAAACATTGGCTTAAAAAACACTGGATTCAAACAATGAAACCAATAATAGATAGACATTCAGTCAAAAATACTTTTTTTAATCTTACAATTATTATTTTAAATGGAGAAATTCCTCCCTGAGTTTCATCTACGTTTATTTTAGACTTTTCTTATTTTTTATTTTTTTAGCTTTTAGTAGCTAAAGAACTGACCTCAAAAAACATCAGATTCAGTCCAAAAACACTTGATTTAAACACACAAACACAATCAGTATTGCATGCAGGGTACCATCTATCAGTAATGGATGACTGGTTTAGTCTCTGCAACACTGGTTGGTACCTGACAGTGATGGGGATTGTGCCATATTTGGCCGGTTGCCACGGTAACAGCAGGAATTACTCACCCCTCCAAGGCAGCTGCCCTGTGTTTGGCCAGTGGATATTATTGTGTGTCTCTCCACTCCCACGTATCACATCTGTAATTCACTCTCCGATCCCAGAGAGGCAAAGTGCAGAAATAGCAAGGAAGTTACCTAACGTGATTGTGATTTGTGCATTAGTGTCACAAAAGGTCGATTTTAAAGAAGCCACTGTGGGGTATTAAAGTCGGATTATCCTGGAATAAAAACAGATGTGCCTATTTGTCCTTCAACCTAACAAAAAAAAAATCATGTTTCACACGCTGCATTATTTGCTACAGAAAATGACTTCAAATGTGCAGAAAAATAGGGCATTTTCTATGCATTTGGCATGTGGAGATACACAGGAATAGCATTGGTGCATGAATGAGTGAGAGCTTGAATGTCATGTTTAATTCAGATCTACGAAGCGTAACATAGAGTGCTATTTTCTGCAAATGAAAGATGGGAAATTCTTTCATTTATTGAGAGCAGAAATCCCTTTTTTAGGACACAAAGCACTGAATGTCACGAGGCTGGTGCACCACTGCCTGAGCTGCAGGGGGCAGCCGATCATCGTGCCACGTCAAGGTTTTTCTCACCTTGAACCAAACGTGGGCCGTGTTTGGGATTTTAGGACACTTAGGACAACACAATCTGTTGTTCCCTCCTCCTGCCCTGTGGGAATATGTGCAGTTTGTTCCCAACCTGTGACACAAATGCTTTACTGGAGCAAAAGAGAATCACAAGGGGGGAAATAACCTTTTTCTACTTTCATTTGTACAATACTTACATACAAATGAGTATGAACGAGAAGATTGGGAATCCTAAAAGGGTAAAAAGGTTATAAGTCATGTTTAGGATGTATGCAAAAATGAACAAGGAAGTGAAGCAAGACATCCTCTTTTTGGCTCTGACAACTGCCCTTACATTTTTTTACAGCTTTACAGCCCCATAAAGAACTGAGACAATCTCCTACTGCACCTTGAATCAAATATTAAAATGTTTCTGACATCAGGTGAAGGTCTTATTACTCAAAGCATATGACTGATTTACTCCTTACCTTTAACTGGTTCACATTTCCTGCATTGTGTATCATTGATTTTTGCACCTTATTGATCTTTGATGGTTACATATTGTTTTTATTTGACCCCTACCTAATGTATAACAACAAATGTCACCTGGATACATTAGGTTTTATTCTATCCCAGATTTGTGTTGCATTTTAGGGTATGAGGCAGAGAGTAAGGGGATGTAAAAGCTTCACTGGTAGAGCCGGTCGAATTAAATAATGTATCAGACAGTCTGATAATGAAAGACTTACATTAGGGATGGGGAAGGCAGTTCAGTTAGCTCTTTTAATGTGTTCTTAATGTACTGTTCAGCAGAACGTAGCAGACCAAAACAGTTGGAGACTA